TATATGACTCTTTCTACTTGGACACTAATAAGAAACTTTCCCAACAAATTGAGAAACATGTATACCTTTTTTTATATATTACAAAATTCAAACCTAAATTGATACCAAATTAGAAGGAAGGCATCAGAGTTCCAATAAATTATTTCCAATCAGCTGTTCAAAAGTCGAGGCACGATTGGATAACGGACATGACCTTTAGCAAATTATATTTGAAAGAATTGTATTTCCATCAATCAAATCTAAGATCGTTAAAATTGATAGCCTAAAACAAACCATATCCTGAACGTAGTTTTGAATACATCTTGTACATTGTTTTTAGGGTTAGTGGTCGAGAAGACAAGAAGTTACAATGCATTCTTTTACATGTCTGGGACACCATACATAGCTGCTTTTATAGAGCTCTTCCTCCTTCGATGTGTTGTACCACTGTCACAAGTTGAGACGAGCAGCGACAAGAGAGAGAATGGAAACGAAGAGCAATTATCATAAGGGCTTGATCAAATCAGAAGTCAATTCTTCGTTAGATATTAATGGATAGATAAGTGCATACCTAATTTTACGGTGTAGTGATAACAAATTCATGCAGTGATAAACAGAGAAAGCATGTAATGACAACGCTTTGGAGAAATTTTATTTACAATGGGAAAATTTTACGTACTTTTCACAAACTTCAAAACTTTTGGACTAAGAAAAAGAAAATTGAAAGCCTGGACATACCCAGAGCCATTCAATCTACTTGCTAATTATAAACTTAATTTCGAGCACGTAGCGATACCCCAACTTTCAGTTGGATTCTTCCAAACAAGAGTTTATATGATTAATCTAATGTTTATTTATTAAGTTAAAGAAGTTGCAAATATGTTGATGTTTTGAATGACTTGTGAAAAGTGTTATCACGGATGCGATGTGAATAAAACCTACTTATGAGTACTTAATTTAGTAACTTTGTGGCAAAATAGCGTTGTTTGTATTTAAAGCTATTAAGGGCGTGGTCAGAAGACAATTTTTAGGGGCCACTACTGTTACCTTAAAATTTATTTTGTTTTATTACGACCATAAAAGAATGAGATGAGCCAGTAAGGAGTCATTCACAAAGGACGTCTTGGAAAAAGATGAATTTTTAATTCCCTACCCTCTTTTGTCCGGCATTGTCCGTATTGAGAGCCCCCTCCCCCTTCCTCGGACATCCACCGATATCATACTGAAAGCTATTCAAACATGTATATGTAAATGGAATGTAAAAAGCCGTTCTTTGTTCCAACCAGAAACTGACTTGATGAACAATTTTTGATTTTCTAGTACGTTTTTTGTATGATGTTATATTGAAAAAAGCATTAGATATAAGCAGCAAAAGTCGTGTTTCACTCTTCGTTTAAGTAGTCAGTTTCTGTGAATGGCTGCTTCAAAAAGGTGGCACTATCCATAAGAGGAGGTAACTGCTACTTCATCTTCCTCGTTTGCTGCTTCACTCTGTGACGCTCTTCATTCTTCAGTGCCAACCTTTTGTGGCCAGTTATCTCGGGGTGCAATTTTGCCAGCTCTACAGAGGTGAAATTTACCGGCATTTCACAAAACCCCCTTTATCTGCTGCCACCTTTCTCTGAATGCTTTTTTGCACAGATGGACAGAACAAATCATACAGCAAGTCAACTTGCTCCTAGCCTTCTGGTTTCAGATGTGATATTGCCATTTGTTTGCAGAAGACCCGTGTTAATTTTTTTTCCTTTGACAGGTTGTTCCCTATACTAGCCAACTGCAGCCCACCTTGAAACCTGGACGTCCGGATTGCGTAAACACCCTCTCCCCCTGTGTCCGAATTTATCCGGATTCACCAAACCCCCCTTCTCCCCCTTCAGCTTGGACGTCCTTTGTGAATGGCCCCTAATTACTCTTGATTTAAAATCCATTTTAAAATTTTATTTAAAATCCAATAATACCTTTATCTTGTTACGTTTTGTATTTTGATGGCTTGTGAAGCTGTCCTTTACCTTGGTACCAGATTCTCTCTTTATTCATATCCATATCCAGGGTAAAGTGTCCTTAATGTATTAATACATTTCCTTGTAATTTGTTTACATTATATATATATTTGGTAAAACCGTTACTAGCATTTCTCTAGCAAAGCATTGAGTAATTTTTATTGTAATTTTGAATCATTGGTTTTGTTTATGTGTTAAGAGATTTTCATCATTCATATTTTTGATTGGTTTTTTCCCTGAATTCCTTCTCTTGTCGAAAAATTAATTTTCAGCCCCCTAAAGTTTGTCTTCAACTGTCCATGGGTCTTTGAATTACTTTAAACCTAGTTCTTTGAATGAACCTTTTTGTGAAGCTAAATTTGTTACATCTGAAATCATTTGAAAACCGAATCTTCGAATAAAAGAGCCCCAGGAGGGTTCATTTATAGTTTATCCATTGTAATCAAAGGAATTATCCCGGATTTGAGGAGAAAAAATGTAAGTAGACACCAGTTTCATTCAGAGACAGCCTTCTGTTTAAAAACAATAATGGTTTGCTTTGGTAATTCTTTGAAAGCCGGTTTGTAACATGTACTTGCGATGATAAATTAACTGAAATTCAATATGGGAAAATTGTACTCTTAACCCGTTTACACTGTTCCTGGCAGATTTAGAACTGTGACAAAACAGTCGCGGTTCGCCCTTCCGTTTACAATCGCACGCTGGAACCGAGACGATTTTGATCTGCTATCCGGAATAGTTTTGACCATGCACCGCACGAATTTTCTACCGTCACCATTCCGTTTTAGAACGGGATAGTGTAAGCGGGGTCTCTGTCACCTTTCAACGTCTCTGAGATCACCAAAAGTTATTTAAAAAGGAACAAATGGTTTGGTATGATATCAAAATTTTTATGCAAAATACTTATCTCTCGGGCTGAAAATAAGCAAAACAGATCGGAAAGCCGTGGTCCACCTTAAAGCATTAATTGGAAGGAAATTGGCTGTGGTAAGTCAGCTATGAGACAAGCAGTATTATAGTAGCATTTGCTCCATACCAAAGGACTGATTTAAGAAACAATGATTGGGAGGAGAGGGGTTTTAAACACTAATTGGATTTTGGTGCCACACCCATCAGGTCACGGGAAAATGATGGAAACGCCCATTTTCAGAATTCGGAAAAAGATAAGAAAACAAGTAAAGTAAAATCTTGGAGTTATCATTTTTTGAAATTGACGACCAAAAAATAATTTATACCGAATGGAAGCAAAATTTATCAAAACACACAGCAGTATTTGGAGTGGGTGTCTCACCCCTACATCCCCCCCCCACCGCTAAATCCGTCCTTTGCTGTACCTTTCCATGTTGCAAACGCCCCAGCTTTCTTTTTAATCCCAACGTTTTTCCAAATACGTTTTTGTCCACTTTAATGCTTCTCAAGGACTCACTTACTGCTATAACACCCTTCAGTATTTCAAACGCTTCCAAAACCCTGTCGTTTCCGTTCAATACCCATAATAAGCTCTAGCTTCCATTTCAATTCCAGATTTTACATTTCAAAGCCTATTACTTAGCTTAAGCCCCGTATGCCCTGAAAATTGTTTAGGTACTGTTAATTTACTTGTGTCCCAGGGCCGTAAATCCCAGGGGGACGGGGGGCTAGACCCCCAAATATCTGGAGCAAAAGGATTTTTTTAGAAATTATCGTCATTTTCATTTAAAGAAAGGAATCCCTGGTAGCTGATACCTCAGCCACTATGCCATGATGTCAAGCGCAAGTTGACTATTGTAGATGGCTGCTTTTTATGTTTGCAGAGTGGTGTCGACTCTGTGACGATACTCATGGAGGGGATTAGCCCCAAATATCTTATCCACCGGTCACCCCTTGAATAAATCTAAAAAACATGTAAGAAAATAATCGTTTAATTCGCCATAAATCTCGACAAATCTACATTACATATATTATCATTACACGCCTTTTTATAAGAATCCTAACTCAAACCTAGGTCCAAGAGTTCCTTATTCTGAACCTTTATTAGTCGAATTGCGGTACCAAGATCTCCATAATAGCTCCATAATTTTATCTATACATTTAGTGACATGATAATAACATAGAGAAAAAAAAAGGAAATTCTGAGTTTTGCTTTGAACTGTACCTAGGAACACAAACTAGGCCAAAAGACAAAGAGGGCAAGAAGTAGAATTAATTTGCGTAAAAGTACCACGTCAACAAAGAAGTACTTTTGCATTAATATAGAGAGAAGCAATGACTACACTCTTTGTTATACCCATCCTCGATTTTTTTTAGAAAATTTTCGTTTTGCGCCCGAATATATTCTTAGATACATTCGAATCCGATATGGCTTCAGAAAAAAATCGCTTGCTCTCGAATAGAAAACACCTTTTCTTTCTTTCCCCAACGTCTGTCACTAGAGTTTAATCATGACTCGTTGCGAACGCCCTATTTCCTCGACGCCCCATATGCTTCACTTGACGCTCTGGAATCCAGGGTAGACTCTTACTGTAAGAATATCCGGTATATAACAACGAAAGAACACCCGAATTCGAACTTCAATACTCCATTTTATATTCTCACGCATAACATAATATAACATAACATAACGAACCGGGCGCATGCCCAACATAACATAAATACGAGGCTAATAACGTCACACCTTTCCTCCAACAAAAGAATAAACGGAACAGTAAGATAATAAAAATAATTGTTTTTTAAAGTTTGCTAATCAGAAGTTGTGGCCAGTGAGGTAGTCCGGCCGAATCACTTTCCTGCCACTCCTTGTCGTTACTGGCTGGTAAAAGTTCAATTGCCTGTGATCAAATCTGGTCTCAGCAGGTCTGGCGGCTGCTGTCTTTTCTTCAGTAGCATCAGGTCGTGAGAGAGGTGCCTCTTGCGGATCAAATTGCTCCATTTCAGATTGGTGATCTTCATAAGGTCGAGCCACTGCTTCTCGTTCCTTTCTGGGGAAAATGATTGAATCTTCTTCATCTGCAAAGAAAGGCTCTTTGGTTTGACGTAGAAACTTTCGATTTCGTCTGAAGATTCTTCCATCTTCGGTTTTTACATTATAAGATCTTACACCAACTTGCTCTATGACACATCCTTTGGTCCAGCGGCCTGTTCTGTTGGAATTTCTTGGCTTTATCCGGACTACATCATCTTTCTTTAATGCACTTAGCTCCCTTGTGCCTCTGTTATAATACTTTGATTGTATCTCTTTCCTCTTTCGAAGTTTTTCTTGGACACCAGTGACAACCTTTGGTTTAAGGAGCTTCTTCGATATGGGAAGCAGTGTTTTAGCTCGTCTGCTAAACATACGCTGGGAAGGAGAGCTTTCCATTCCCTCAGACGGCGTGTTTCGCCATTCTAGTAGCACGAGATAGAAGTCATTGCCAGATTCAGTCGCTTTTTTCATTAGCATCTTTGCAGTTTTGACGGCATTTTCTGCTTTGCCATTACTCTGTGCGTACTCTGGCGAGCTTAGCTCGGTGGTAAATTCATATTCCTTGGCAAAATCCTGAAATTCTTTAGAGGAGAAAGGTACGTTGTCACTCATGAGCGTATCTGGTATGCCATGAGTAGAGAAGTGTCGCTTGAGCTTCTTCTTAATTTCCCCAGCAGTTTTGTAAAATAGACGATCTATCTCAAAGTAGTTGGAGTAGCAATCCACAGTACAGAGGAAGTCTTTGTTGTTGACTGTGAAAATGTCAGCAGCAATTATTTGCCAGGGACGGCTTGGGATTTCACGAGGAATAAGGGGCTCTCTGGTCTGGTTGTTTTGGAATGTGCTACAGATTTCATTTCACATTTCGAGATGAAGTCGATAAGATCTTTGTTCATGCCAGGCCAGTAAACTGCTTCTCTGGCTCTTCTGAGGCAGCTCTGTATTCCTGTGTGTGTTACATGCAGTTTATCCCGGATCTTTTTGCGCAGTGTTTCTGGAACAACTGCTCTCTGACCCTTGAATATTACGTCATCCTGTGTTGCTAGCTCGTCTCTAATTGAGAAGTATGGATGAATACATCGAGGAAGGGTATCTTTTCTTTCTGGCCACCCATTCAAAATTATTTCTTTCAGTGCTTGTAAAGTGCTGTCACATTTGGTTTCTCGCTGTATTTCCTTCAGCTGTGGCTCAGAGATGGGGAGATAATTTGACATGTGGATAGTTTCGACTTCTTCTTCAGTTGCGGACTTTTGTCTCTCACTTGTCGGCAGGTATGCACGAGAGAGTGTGTCTGCTAGAACAATTTCTTTGCCAGGTTTATAGCAGATTTTAACATCGTATGATTGCAATCTTAGTAGCAACCTTTGCAGTCTCTTTGGAGCAGAGGCGAGTGGTTTGCTGACGATTGAGACAAGTGGTTTGTGATCCGTCCAAAGTGTAATCTCTCTGCCATAGACATAGGTATGGTGATGTTCCACTCCAAATACTTGTGCAAGCAGCTCCTTCTCTATTTGGCTGTAATTTTGCTCTGCAGGGGTGAGGGCTCTGCTTGCATATGACACGGGACGTCCCTCTTGCATGAGCACGAAACCAAGCCCCTTTGATGATGCATCAGCCTGGCCTTCTGTTGCTGCCTTATGGTCAAAATACTTTAGAACTGGTGCCTCACAAATTGCTTTTTGTATGTCAGCAAAAGACTTGTCATGATCTTTTTCCCATACCCATGGTGCATCTTTGTGGGTCAAATTTCTCAGAGGTTCGCATACTTCAGATAGTCTGGGAAGAAACTTGGCCAGGTATTTTACCATGCCAATGAACCTTTGTACACCAGCGACATCTTTCGGCTTGCTCATCTTTGTGATGGCTTCAACTTTTGCGGGGTCTATTTTAAGACCATTCTGTGTTAGGGTATGGCCAATGAAGGAAACTTTATCGGATTTGAACTTGAATTTGTCCTTGTTCAGCTTGATGTTTTTTTGTTGACAACGTTTCAAAAGTGCCAGCATGTTCATGTCATGATTTTTGACAGCTTCTTCGTAAGTTTCTCCTCTTCCGGTAACAAGAGCATCGTCAGCGACTGCATACACTCCAGATGGGCCTTCAATGCACTGATCAAATTTGTGTTGAAAATGTTCTGAAGCTGGTTTAATTCCAAATGGCATCCTGAGGTACCTCCAACGCCCCCATGGTGTCTGGAACGTTGTGAGCATGCTTGATTCTTCATCGAGCTCTATTTGAAGGTACCCTTCCTTCAGGTCGATTTTGCTGAATACCTTGACACCTTCTAGCTCTGGTAGCACATCCTCAATGAGCGGTAAAGGATAATGACTTCTTTTCAATGCTTTGTTGAGGTGTTGTGGATCGATGCACACCCTCAGTTTCCCATTTGGTTTTTCTGCAATGACGAGATTTGATACCCAATCTGTTGGACTTGTAACTTTCTGAATGACATGAAGATTTTCCAGTCTTTCCAATTCAGCCTTGAGTTTTGCTTTAAGAGCGATTGGTACTCTGCGAGGCGGCATGACAACAGGGGTTTGTGACTCATCAACATCTAAGTGCAATTTGCCTGGCATGTGACCCAGACCTTCAAAGACATCTCCAAAACGGTTCTCTATATCTGCAATACTGAGTGGAGCCACTGCGGTGGTCGATAAGACTGTTTCCATGACAACCGTTGGTTGTGCCTGTTGATGTGTGCTGTTTGAAGCAATACTGTTAGAGCTAACATTATCTACATTTGCGTTAAAGATATTAGCATAATTAACAGTCAGAAGTCCCATCTTTTGTGCTGCATTAGCTCCTAATAATGGCACATAGTCACCTTTTACAACAACAAATCTGACAGTGTACTCAGTCTGGATCTTTGGGTTTACTACCTTAAGTTTACAAATACCATTTATCGGTAACAAGGCTTGGCTGTACAGGCGCAAAGAGTGATCCGATTTTTCAACTTTCGTGCCTGGAGGAACGAAGTGTTCTGGAAGGACATTACAGGTAGCACCTGAGTCAATTTGAAAACTAATTTGCCTGCCTTTTATAATCATGGAGGCAAAAATTTTGTTCTTAGGAGGGGACTGGGACACAGCATTGATTGCCAGATTATTTTTGGGTGAAATTTCAACAATGAGAATTTCATCATCACTTGAAGTGTTTTCTTCCTTCACTGCATGTATTTTGGCTTTAGAAAATTATCTCTCATACGTGGTGATTTCTTCAAGCTGCACTTCTCAACAAAATGGTTTCTCTTACCACAACCAGAACAATATCTGCAAAAGGCTGGGCAACTTTCTTTGTTTCTTTTATGGCTACGCCCACAAAATTTGCAGTCGGAAATAAAACCTCTTGTGTCTCCAGTGGTCTTCCTTGGGCTGCTTTGCTTTCCAACATAATGGGCCATGAGGTCGTGATTATCATCTTGGCCAGCCATTATTTTTGCTTGAGCAGTAGTTGTTTCTGTGGCCCTGCATAAGTCAATGCATTTAGATAATGAGAGTTTTGGTTCTTGCAGTAGCTTACGTCGCACAGCATTGTTGTGAATGCCACAAACAATTCGGTCACGTATCAACTCATCATTAAGTGGTCCAAATGCACATGTGGCTGCGAGGGCACGCAAAGAAGCCGCATAAGTTTCAATTGACTCTGTAGGGCCCTGTGTACAATTATTGAATTTATACCGTTCGTAAATCACATTTGTTTCTCCAATACAGTAAGTATTCCATAATTCGAAGATTCGCTCAATGTTTTGACGTTCACCCTCCTCCTGGTACGGAAGTGAATTGTGTATTCGAAGAGCTTCCGGTCCTATGCAAGTGATGAAAGCAGCCACTCGAAAATTGTCTGGTTTAGACTTCAAATTCGTAACAGTTTCGTACGCATCATAAATTTGCTTCCATTGCTTCCAATTCTCTGCCAAATTCCCTTCTAAGCTTAATCGTGGGGGTAATGGCACGTTAGATATGAACGCCGATGTTCCGCTATTTCCTTCAGAGGAAGCACTCGGCCCAGGCACGATTGGATCTGGATCTGTCATCGCGAATAAGACACCCGCAAATAGCCT